GCTGACAATGGAAAATCTCCCTCAGGAGGCACAAGTGGGGTGCATCCCTTTGCTTCTGCCCCATTAATTCCTTGTTAATTAATAAATTGATCAGTCCAGGTGCATTTGTCTCTCCCACCAGGAAGGAAATGCCGCGTGCGTTCTCCTGGCCTTCACGCAGAAGTCACAATTACCACCTTGCTTCTCCTCTGTTTCACTCCAGGAATTGTTTTCATGCCAGGGAAGCCTGGAAAGGAGCTGCTGGCATTTCCTGCAGGGATGAAACAGCTCTAAAATCTCAATCTTCTCCATTTGCACTGCACAGAGAGCAAAGCAAGGTCCTTGCCACCGTCCTTGGGGCTGGTCCCAGCTCACCTGGGCTGACCCCTCTCCTGAGCAGCCCCGGGATCCCTGAGGATGTCAGGCAGCAGCACGGAACTGGCCAGGCAGGATCCACCATCCTCTCATTAGGCAGCTCTCAGGATAATGTGGCGAGGTCCTCGACTGAGAGCTGCAATTTCAGACCCTGAAAAAATTCCTCCCAAAATTCCTGCCCGGTGCTCCTGCCAGGGTTCAGCTGCCCAAGGCTCTGCCCTGCCTTGACGTCCCTCCCTTCCTCTGTCCCTCACAGAAAATGGTTTCACCTCAACAAAGTCTCTTCCTGAGTCCCTGCCTCCCACTCAGCTCCACCAGCCCAGTGAGGAGCAGTTTCTGTGCTGGGCCCATCTCTTCCACTTCAGTCTCCTCATTTTTGGTTCATTCTGGCTCCCTCCCCTTCCAACACCCTCAGAGGGTCCTGCACCGTCTCCAAACCCCTCCATCCCTGCTCAGGGCCAGAATTCCAGGATTCCTGGACTTTAGATGGATGCCAGGGGAGGCTGCAGGAGGGAAATGTTGATTTGGGATGCTCCACACCCAGTTCCAGGGCCACCATCCCTTGTGTTGCCTCTTGCACAGGCAGAGCTGCCCCTTAACCTTTTAACTGAAATATTCATAAAAATACTACTACTAATAAAAATTAATAAATAAAGCGAGAACTTCCCAAATCTGCAAGTGTCCAAGGACAGGCTGGATGGAGCTCTGAGCAGCCTGGACATGTCCCTGCCCACAGCAGCAGGGCGGAATTGGATGATCTTTAAGGTCCTTTCCAACCCAAACCATCCCACAACGGATTTGCATGGAGTCACGTGCAGGTGACTGAGCCCCAGACATCCCAAACACTCCTGGCTCCCTCCTCATGTGCACGTCCAGTGACCAGGAACAAACAAACCCATTTTCCCGACATTTTCCCAATTTGCTCCAAACGCCGTTCCGACGGAACGACCGGCACGACGCCGGGGCTGGGTTTGGGCTCCCGCACTGATTCAGCACCAGCTGCTGCTGAGTCAGACCCGGAACATCTCCATCCAGCAGATACGAGGCCGCATTTTTTGGCTCCCTCACAAGGTTGTGGGGAGGACAAATTCATCCAAATTCACGGGAGCCCTTTGATTATCTCCAGGCTAAACCATGACGAGGCAGAACAAGCGTGGTGATCAGCAGTAATGAGGCGAAATGCAAATTCCAGGCGACACCTATGGCTAAAAAATATGGGTTTGGATGGATAAACAGGGAAGCTGGAATGGTCAATGGCTGTCTCACTTCCAGGAGGAAGGATGGCCGGGAGTATAAAAGGGCTCCGGGCCCAGCTCGCTTCATTCGCTCGTCTTCTCCTCCCTTCACCTCTCCTCACTCTTCAGCAGGGTAAGTGAGAACTTCTAACCCTTCCTTCACCTCCCAAAAGGGAATTTTGGCTATCCAAAATTTGGATATCTGCTGTTTAGAGCAGATCCAAGCATTGCTGGGGGTCTGGGATGGGGCTTGGATGTCACAGTTTTACGGACTTTGCACGAGGAGTTACGGGGATGAGCTGGGAATGTTCGGGGAGGCTCTGGGGGTATCAGCAGGGCCATGCAGGGGTGGGGCACGGAGAATATTCCAGAAGGGCCCAGAGTGAGGGCTCAGTGCTGGGTTCCTAAGACACCAGGGGTGCCCCGGAATGAGTCGTTGGGCCCCTGCACCACGGGAAAAACCCAGAACTGCGGCCACAATTTACGAACAAGACACGCCTGGGTTTGCCCTCCTAGAACCCCCAAAGGTGAATGAATGACCAGAGCCTTGAATTCGCCCCAAATCCCAAACCTGCTGCTCCCGCTCACAGCCTCTCTCTGCTCCTTCCAGCTCCGCCTCCGCTCCCACCACCCCCAAGATGCCCAACGGATGCTGCGGTGGCGGAAATAACTACTCCGTGTGCTGCTACAGCAGCCCCCGCTGCTGCAAGACCCCGATGTGCTGCAGCCCCATGCAGTGCTGCAGCCCCTGCTGCATGCCCATGCAGTCCTGCTGCATGCCCATGTCCTGCTGCTACACCATCAGCAACAACAACAGCGGCTGCTGTGGCAGCAGCTGCTGCGGCAACTGAGCCCGCCCGGCGGGTCCCCGGCTCGGACACGGATGTGGACATGGATGTGGACACGGATCCCAACCCAAACGCTCCTCCTGCTGTGCTTGGACACGTAGAACTTCTTTTCGCTGCCTTTAGTCCCTTGGCTGTGCCCTGAAGCCGCTGCCCAGCGAGTTTCTGGCGCTGCTCTTCCTTCCCCTCTTGGTGATGGGGTGTTCGATGTTGTCTCCTTCTCCCTTCTCTTTCTTTAATCCCCAATTAGCCATGAAAGACAATAAAATTTGTGACTTCTGACCCTGCAGATTCCTGGGTTATGCTTATTCATTTCTCTTTATCCTTTAAACAGTAGCGTGGGATGTGTTTAGCATTTGCCTAATTGATTAATGTAATTAATTTTGCATGTTTGACATTCTGTGATGACAACGCCCCGGTGTACCTGGTGAACTCCTTGGGCTCACCTGGGGGAAAATGGGACTTGCAAGTGAAAAATGTCACCTCAGCAAGAGGCGCATTAGTTGAAATCCATCTTTCTCCTGCTGATTTGAGATCCTGTTTGCAACTAAAGCATCTCTGTGGTCCTAAAGCCAGAGCTGGAGGTCTTTTTTTCCTAACAGGAATCTTCCCAGAGAATTTGCTGAGCTTTAAAGGAGGGGTTTTAAATTATTAAATAGACCAGGGTCGTTCAGGTTGGAAGGGACTTTAAAGCTCATCCAGTCCCACCTCTGCCATGGACAGGGACACCTCCCACTAGCCCAGGTTGATCAGATTTATGTCCAGCCTGAAGGATCCACAAATGCTGAGTCATTTTCTCTGGGTTCTATTAAAAAGTGGGGAGATTTAAGAGACCAGATCAGAAATTCAATATTCACACTTGGGGATTTGTGAAATCCTCCGGAAGTGGCTCCAAAACTCCTCTAATGTAAAAAAAGAATCCAAACCCAGCATAAACTTGGGGCTCTGGCAATGAGCTCTAAACTGAAAATCCTGCTCGGTCCTAACAGATCCCGAGGTCTTTTCATCTTTCCACACAAATCCCGTGGCTTCCTGCCAGGCAATTCCACTTCTCCAGTAGCTACGGAATAAATTACAGCAGAGCCCTGTCAGGTGCCAGCACAGCCTTGGAGCCACACCCCCGAATTCTGCAGATGCTTTTCCCAGTGATTCAAACCCAAATTCCACCGGACAGAGCTCCGAGCATCCCTTACTCCACATGGAAATGTCTTTGGAGCCCCGGGGGGCTCCTGGGAGAGGAATTTTCCTGGTACTTAAAAAATGTCTCGGCCACAGAGAAACTGCAAACTGGAGCAGCTCCACGGAGCGTGAATCAAAGCAAAAATGCCAGAAAGGTGGACACGGTGCTTGGCAGAGCCTGGAATTGTTTCTGTGTGAGGTCATCGCTCCTCTGGTGTCCCCATTCCAGACTTTCCACACATAAAAGGCTTTTCCTCGCCGTAGCCACGGTGCTCCGCACTTGGGAGCGAATTAATCCATTTAAATCAGGGAATAAACCTCCAAACATCCCATCCCCAGCCTACCGCTCGCCCCCCGTGCCCGGTGCCCGCAGGAATCCCAGATTCCCATCTCCCAGCCACCCACAGGAGCATCACCCGCTGCTCCTCGCGGTCCTGGGGCCAGCCTGGATTCCCTCCCCTTCCTCTGGAAGGACTCCTGGGCCTTTCTGTGGTTTTCCCACCGCCAGCAGAGTCCCCTTCTGGGCGCATCACTCAGCATCCCGGCATGCCAGGTATCCGCATCCCGGGATCCCGTCTGACTAACGCGGGGCAGGAGCCCATCCGAGCACGGCCAGGACTAATGACATAATGTCCCCTGCCTCTGCAGAGCGCTGGCCACACCGGGGCAGGCGCTAATTGCGGCTGATTAACCCGACAGCGAGCTCCAGGAACAAAACACACACACACACACACACGGCAGCGGCCTCAGAGCTCAGCTATTCATTCCCAGGACGTGCCTCATTTTCGGCAGAGCTCGGCCGCATATAAAAGCTTTCAGCCCCGGCTCTGTCCTCAGGACTCCGACTCCCTGTTCAGCCCGTCCGTTTCTGCTCGCAGGGTGAGTTGGATTCTCTCAGATTCCTCAGTTTCCCCCCCAGAAAAAGGCGTCGGTGTTTTGTTTGCTTTTTCCCAGGCTGTTTATGCCCAAGGGCTTGGTCACCCTCAAAGGATTTGTGAGTCATGGGAGAAGCAGCTCTGAGGGAACTGGGGGGGCTCAGCTTGGAGAAAAGGAGGCTCAGGGGGAATTTCGGGCTCTGCACAGGTCCCTGACAGCCGCGGGGTCGGGCTCTGCTCCCAGGGAACAGGGACAGGAGGAGAGAAGCTGTGCCAGGGCAGGATCGGGTTGGACTCGGGAGGAATTTCCTCCTGGAAAGGGCGTCAGGACTTGGCAGGGGCTGCCCAGGGAGGTTTGGAATCTCCATCCCTGGAGGTGCCCGAGAAATTCCTGGACGTGGCACTCAGTGTTCTGAGCTGGGGGATGTTGATCCATCACAGGCTGGGCTGGATGACCCTGGAATTCTTTCCCACCCTCAGTAACTCCCCGATTCTGTGATCTCTGCCCCAGGATGCTCCAGCAGAAAGGCGGCACCGACCACGACCTGTGCCAGCACCGCTCGGGCTGCGACCACAAGGGCCGGACATGGCCCAGCTCCACCGGGCACTGCCACGACACCCCCGAGATCTGCCCCAACCCCCCCGAAATCTGCCCCAACCCCGGCAGCCTCAGCCACGACACGGAGGGCTCCAGCCAGAGCTGCCACCCCAGCGAGCTGTGCCCTCCCCGGCCCTCCTGCTGCCCAGCCCCGCAGAGCTGTAAGCCCCGGCGGCGGGTGGAGGTGAGCCCGGTGCCCCCCGTGTGCCCCCCGCCCGTGAAGATCCACCGCCGGCCGCTGGAGCAGCACCGCCCGTGCCCGCCGTGCCCGGAGCCCGACTCGTGCGGGAAGCCCCGCAGGCGAGTGGAGCAGTGTCCGGAGCAGGATGAGGAGCCCCCGGTGGTCCTGCAGCCCCTGCCGCTGCAGCATCGCTGCCCCTGCATCCAGCGCTGCCCCCGGCCCGTGCCCTGCTGCCCCCGACCCGTGCCCTGCTGCCCCCGACCCGTGCCCTGCTGCCCCCGGCCCGCCCAGCGCTGCTGCCCACCCGTTGTCCCCCTGCCACCTCACCCCGGCCACCAGCAGCAGAAGCAGGTCACTCTGGTGCCTCTCTGCGTGAAGAACTGAGCCCAGGGACCCCTCCCCGCTCCTGGCTGGGCTGGGGGGAGTCGCCCCCGGCCCAAGGGATGCTCCCAGCGCCGCTCTGCGCTCGCTGCTGCTCTTTGCACATCAGATTTGGGGATCCCCTGCTTGGCCCCAGCACCGACACTTTAAATTCGGGGTGTCCTCCCCTGCCGGGCTTTGGTTCTCCCCGAGGAGCAGCAGAGGGGGTTCCCCCTTCTGAGGACACGGAGGAACCGCCGGGGATCTGCTCTCCCGGGCTGCACCTTCAAGGTTGTTTGGAAGCAGCTCCAGGATTTTCCTTTACGAGGAAAAAAAGGAACCACTGTGAGGGCAGGAGCACCACAGACTCCTGCAGCTTTATCTCCCCCACCGTGTATTCAAGAATAAAGTTGAAAATTATTTAGCAAACCCTCGGTTCCTCTCTTTTTTGCCCACCGGTGTTACAATAAGATGTTGAAAGCCATTCAAACTCTCCCGAGGAAACTCGTACATTTAAATCGGAGTCAGGGCACGCACGGGAGGGTTTCAGCTCTGCCCGCAGGGGTTTCTCCAGGCTGGAAGGTGGAAAATCCCACCCCAGGAGCTCGGGATGGGCAAATCCGGGCACCAACATCTGCTCTGCGGCCGTGCCAGCGCCTTCATCCCCCGAACGGGAGCAGTGCACGGGGAGGGCATCCTCATTTACACGTTAATTATGATAATGAGCGCGTGGCCCGGCACGGGAGGGGTGGCTGTGCATGCCGGGGATGCCTTTTCGCTGCTGCAGGAAGGTGCAGGCGCACTGGTAACCTGCTCCTTCTCCTCACTTTGCCAGAAAAGCCTCCCGCAAAGGGCATGAAAATAAATAATTTAATTTATTTGCATCGCCCGGGCATGTCCTCGCACAACCACCATGAGGAGCTGGGAAGGAAAAAAAGGAAATTCGTCCTCGTTTTCTTCACCACAACAATTTATTTTTCTCATGTCTAATTCTAGCCAAATAAAAAACCACTTCCCTGTGAAATTTACCTTGGGAGAGCCCTTTTTTTATTAGGGATTTTCTTCCCATCCTCTTCCCAGTTCTCAGCACGGTGACTCAGACCAAGGGCCAGCTCAGCCCTCGCTTCCAGGTCTGATTTGGTCCAGTTTATCTCCCAAGCTGCTTTTCACCAGCCCTCCCATCCCAGTTCCCCCATCCCTGTTCCCCATCCCAGTTCTCTATCCCAGTTCCTCAACCCAATTTGAGGATTTTCCAAGTCCATTCCATTACCCAGGGTTTTAATGGAGGCGTTAAGCAGCAGCAGCACCAGAATCAGCCACTTTTTCACCCCCACATTTTTCATCCACCCGGTCCAAGCCTCCACCAGTTTAACCCCGAGGCTGCTGTGGGAGACTGTGCCAAAAACCTCGCAGAAGTTGGGGTAGAACCACAGAATCGTGGAATGGTTTGGGTTGGAAGGGACCTTAGGGATCATCTCACTGCAAATCCCACAGGCAAGCACACCTTCCACCATCCCAGCCCTGTCCAAGATGTCCTTGGACACTTCCAGGAATGAGGCAGCCAGAAATTCCCTGGAAAAGCCGCGTCAGGCCCTGCCCGCCCTCGCTCCCTCATGCCCAGAGCCAACCCCTTCATGACGGAAACCGACGGGCACAATTTGCTTTTGGTGACTCTGAGCTGGCTCTTCCCATCACCTGCTCATGCTTCACCTGGAAATGCTCCTGACGGGCAGCAGGAGGGGAGGGTCAGAGCGGTGCCATCACCGCTCCTGACTCACAGGTCACCCTGCAGAGGGTGAATAAGTCCTTTATTACCTGGCTCACACAGCCAAAGTGGGGCTTAGGCCGTCTCAGTCTTTTATGTGCCCCGCTGGGGACTGATGTTATAATTAAAAGATGCTTATCAGAAATGGTGAGTCAAGCAGAACATGCCAGGCACTGGGAACAGCATCCAAATGGAGGAGATGTTTTGCCAATAAATAATTTAATCCTCGTTCCTGCTGCGTGTTTCACGTTCAGGGGAACACTCGGAGCTCTATAAAAGCCCTCGGCCCCTTGGCCTCTCACATTCTGCTCCCCTGGGCAGTGCCTGTCTTCATTTGAGACCTGGTGAGGCTTAACCCTTCTTGGATGGGGGTCTGGATTTGGGAGGTCACACCTGGACCTTCAGACCACGCTCTGCCATGGGACAAGCTCTTGAGGGACCTGGGGTGGGACTTACAGCGGTGCCACCATGTGGTGTTGGTGCCTAGTGGTTGGTTTTGTTCTTGGAGTTGAAAAATTGGAAAGGGAAGGTCAGAAAGGGGGTTTGGATGCAATTTGGATGCAATCTGACCAGCGCTGGGCAACTGCAGGAATTTCCTCTGGATCCAGGCCCTCAGGATAAACCCCAAGGCAAATTAAATGGAACCAGAGGAGGCGCTGACACCAACCCATCTCTCTTCCAGGTTTTTCCCCACAGCCCCGACATGATTTACTCCTCAGGAAGAGAATCCTTCTTCAACCTGAACTCCACCTGGTACGACCCGTCGGGCTCCTGGCTGGACACGCGGCGCACGCCCTTCCGCTACGGCTACGCCACCTGCTGCTCCTCGGGCTGCCGCGGCGAGGGCGTGGAGGGCATGAGGGGCCACGACTACCGCCACTACGGCTACCGGCAGCCCCGCTGCGCCGAGCGCTGCCAGGGCTACTCCAGCTCCTCGGGCTCGTGCCACGGAGGGGGGGCCAGCTGCGTCAGGAGACCCACGTACAGCTACGGGGGCTCCGGGGGGTGTCAGGGCTATGGGAGGTCCGTGTGCTCCGAGAGGTGCCAGGGCTCCTCGGGCTCGTGCCACGGAGGGGGGGCCAGCTGTGTCAGGAGGCCCACGTACAGCTACGGGGGTTCAGGGGGGTGTCAGGGTTATGGGAGGTCCGTGTGCTCCGAGAGGTGCCACGGGCCAGTGGCCCAGGGTGGGAAGCCGTGCTGTGGGACGCCCGTGCAGAGCGTCCCAGTGCAGAGCTGTCCCCCACCAGTGCAGAGCATCCCAGTGCAGAGCTGTCCCCCACCAGTGCAGAGCATCCCAGTGCAGAGCTGTCCCCCCAAAGTGCAGAGCATCCCAGTGCAGAGCTGTCCTCCTCCAGTCCAGACCTGTCCCTGTCCCTGTCCCCCCCCAGTCCAGACCTGTCCCCCTCCAGTCCAGGTCTGTCCCTGTCCTTGTCCCCCTCCGGTCCAGCAGGGCTGTGTGCCCGTGGCCAAGGGCATCCCCCGCCAGCAGCAGAAGCAGGTCTGCAAAGTGCCAGCCCGGAAGATCAAATAAAGGATGTGAGGTTTTAGGGGAAACAAAGGGAATTGTCCCCCCCTGTCCTGCATTGTCACCCATCTCTGCTCTGTCCCTCTGCTTGTAACGCGCTCTGAAGTTGTGACCCACTGATGCTGTGAAATTTAAAATGCTTTTCACCTCATTTCACAGCAGATGTGGAGGCAATAAAAAATGCTGGATCAAACTCTCCTGGCATCTGTGTTTTTATCTCCTCCCCCCCTCTGAGTGGCTTCTGGTCCTTCTGGTGGCCAGAGCTGGGTTTGCAGCGGGCTCAAAAGGAGGCTCCGGGTTGGTTCCACCTGGTGGCTCCTCGTTCCCATTCCAGGCAATTTCCTGGTCGGTAAAGTAACAGTTTTCATCACAAAGTGTTTATGCAACGGGGTTATTAAATATTAATAAAGTTGTGTAAGAAAAATCCACATTTTACTGGAGAGGGGAAAAGCAGAGGGTCTATTGGGACCAAGAGGCAATGGGTACAGCTGGATTGGCACCATAAACCTCCAAAAAAAAGCCCTGGGGAAAAAAGGCAGGAAGATGATTTGGGAATGGCTCCAAAAGCCCCCAAATTCCTGGTGGGGTCTGGGAGGGTTGGGAGAAGAACCCCCTGTGAGGATTTCTGGGGCCAAGCAGGGATGTGGAGCCGCTGTGAGTCACGGCACCGCGTGCTCGGAGCTCCTGGCACCTCCCCAGCCCAGGTGAGGGCCTCCATCCCCTCCTGGCGTCAGGACATGGCACACAGCACCATGAGCCGCTCCCCAGGGTGGGGATTTCTCCTGCAGGAAAAGGGAAAGAAGCAAAAGCAGGTGTAGGGTAGGGGTTTTAGGGTGGACACTGACACCGACACCACCCCAAGCCTCCCTTGCCAACTCTGCAAAGGCAATTCTTTCATAAAAACAACAAACAACCCCCCCAAAAAAGCCATTTCCCACTCAGAATGGTATCCATGGATCCAGGGATGTCTCTCCAAGGAACAGGAGCTTTGTAGGGGATACAGAGAGCAGCTGTAGGGTCAGCACAGTCCTGCCCCATACTTGGGTCCAGGTCCCCCCGGGCCTTGCTCAGGTGTTTGTCTCCATCACCGAGACAAACGATGGAACAGGTTTATCCCAATCACGGAATCAGGGCTGTAATTAATCGTGAATAATGAGTTTCACAAGGATTTCTATTCTCCCAATGTTTGTGAAATATCCCGAGTTGTGTTCGGATTTCCTCATCTATCAGTTACAGTGATTCAGCTCCAATGGGGACCAAGGAGTCTCCTGGACTCTGTGTTTGATTTTTATTCAATCCAGGCTGGTTTTAATATCACAGTGGTCTCTAGAGTCCTGCAGGAGATCAGGCCTGAAAGACACTTTTGTCCCCAAAGCAGAGTGCTGAAGACGCAGATCCCAATGTTCTCCCACTCCTACCAGAATGTTTTCCGCATTCTACAGGGCTTTAAATTCCTTCTGTTTGGGTTGAAATCCTTTAAGTAAAGAAAGGGATGGCTTGGAAAATTGCAGCACTGCTTTTAGTGCTTCTTTGCTGAATTTATTCAGAATTTTTGGTGTTTCTTTGATGCTGTGTCCAATTATGTTTATTTTTACTACCCACCACCACAGCCTTTTTTGTTCCTTTTTCTTTTATTTCTGGGTTTCTTTTACAACTCCACAGTCCCACCTTCCCAGCCTCTAACACTGTCCCATCTCAGTTCAGAATTGGTTACAAGGAACAGAAAAATGCCAC